ACATTTCTGCTATATATACTGGGTTGGACAAGCCCAAGACCTTTGGCCAAAGCTGCCTACCATTGAACACTAGTCCTGTGCTTCAAATGATTTGTTACCAAGATGTGCTCCTACATTGCCATGGTGAGAGAAGACCTGTCCCAGAACCCAGAGGCAGCACATGGAGGAGGAAGAAGAGGAGAAAAAATTCACTTTAACAGAATTCACACCAAAGAGCAATGGTGGGAAGGGAAGAAGAAAGAGCTGAAGGGAATGTATAAGTATACAAACATTTCAATGCAGAAAGATTAATGACAGAAGTTAAACATAAGTAGCAAGTAATTGTCATAGTGAGAAGAAAGTCCAGCATCAGAGTAATCTGAATGAGATTAATGACGTTAAGTAATAACATTACCATCTAGTTTTCAACAAGAACTAAACTGCTCAATCTTGGTTTTCAATACTATTATGAAATGCTGCCTGAAAAGTTTCTATGATATGTATTAAGAAGATTGTGTCTCCAGCTTCCTTGTTAGGCAGATTAACCACCTACTGCTCAAGCATAAAGTGGCCAAAAGTCAGCTTCTACTGAAGGTCCTACTGTGGTATTACAGTCTAGGAAAGAATATTCCTTAATCCCAGATACAGCCATTTGAGATCTGTATTTCAAGCACAACTAATCATTCTTTTTACAATATTTGAACTTTTTTTTTCTCTCATGAAAACCACAAGTGTTCTTAGATACTCATTTTGTATTAGCTGAGTGTTCCTCAAAAATAGGATCTCTCGATATATATAGGAACTTAAAGAATTTGCAACTTGAAGCACACCTCTGCCGTTTTATCAAGGCCTCCACAACAAATCAGGCAGCCCTGCAGAGCAGAAAGGCTGGGTTAAGCTTACCCAATCTAAAATATTACTGTCTTCTGTAACTGAAACCTTATTTAATATCAAATAAAAGGGTATGAAGTCTAGAGAATAACATCAGTGTTAAAATAAAATACGCATCGCATCAAATTTGACATCTCCTACCCACCAAGTGGCAAGGCCACACTTACTATGATCAGAGACCTGTGACCTCTCCAAAAGCATTTAGATTTGAAAACTTCATTGCTGGGCACTTTTGTAATCCCAAGTGAAGAACACAACTTGGATCAGTCATGGTAATTTTACCAAAATTTATACTCTTAAAGGTATATTTTCAGCTCAGTTCTGCAAAATAACCACATTCTGAGGCGTTTCTAAGCAACAATATGACAACTGAAGAACATTATAGTTCACAAGCTCTTGTGTCACACAAGCAAGGGAAATGAGAGAAAGACACAAAACAGTCTGCTCAATAGCTATTCTGAAAATCTTGGTCTCTACAGCAACTGTGGGATCAAACCATAAAATCTGAGATGTCAACACATTTTTTAAACAGCAATTAGCTAAGTAACTATCAAAGGAACAAAGGATTTTTTAGGCTCATTTAACAAACGCCCCTCTAATTCCCTAGGAAAAAGAAAAGTTAATGAAGAAAGATGTCTTTGCCTTTGCAAAGAAGTCTAATTTCTACTTCGATTAGTAAAGTAGATTTTTTAAGAATGGCAGCGTACCTACCACCACTGTTTGTCCAAAATATCCTACAGAAAATTGTTGCCACTAATGTGTGGTCCCTTTGTAATAAAAATATATTAATTCACTTCCACCAAGAAAAAAAGAATAATTCAAGAAGAGCTATTTGCTGTTAAATTTCATCCATTATCTGCATATAATGACAGAGCTGTTCAAATATTTTCTTTTAAGTGCTTATTATCTCTCTCTTTTTAAAAGATCAGAACTGGAAGAACAGAACATACTTTTGAACATATCTCAGGGTGGTGAGGGGAAGAAATATATCAATTTTAAAAATGTTTGCCTGAGAACTGTGAGTTCAGCACATGAAAATTAAGACCATTTACTTATGCAGCATAATAAAAATAAAAGATTCATGGCAGGTCAGATTAAAGTCCACCCAGCACATCATCATTTTTCAGATGGCAGGGCAGGAAGGGGTGCTTTGAGAAGTCTGGATGCTACCCGTGTTTTCAGACCAGTCTCTCATCTACACACTTTGAGCAATCTAAGTTTTAGTGCTTCCTGAACCTAACATTCATGCAGAGGATGTATTGTTATGTGTTTAACAGCCTTTAATGGATTTTCACGTCTAATTGCTTTTTGAACCTGTGCCAATTTTTGGCACCTACCTCAACAAGTTCCATAATTTAGCTGTGCACTGTTTGGGGGTGCAGTAGAGCCTTTGTTTTAAAACCACTACCTGACAATACGAGAACTAAAGAGCATCAAATGAATGCAGAAAAGAGAGAGAGATTCATCATTCTTTATTCATCCCCTCCACGCCATCTTACAGTTTCATAGATCATTATTACCTCTTCCTCCTGCTGTTCTCTTTCCAGACAGAAGAAATACTAATCTATTTGGTTACTCATTATGAAGAGACATAGAATAGCTTCCGCATACTTACTGGAACTCTAGGTAGAGACCACTAATGTACAATAAAAACCTGTCAACGTTATCATAAGGTATTGGTACTTCCCCATAGCGTGTAGAGACTGCAGCTTCAGCCATGGCGTAGAGTTTATTAAAATATGAACAAAAGGTAACTTGTATTACATGAATTGGAAGGATTTTTTAAGATCTGGATACCACTGTTCCAGACGTAAGAAAGCTGAACATGTCTGACTGCTTCTTTTTAAGTGCAAGAAGCAGACAGCTGAAAGGCTATCATTACAGACAGTTTGCTCAGAAAGGTATTTGTTTACAGAGAACACTCACCTTCATTGTACGGCACTGGATTGCCAATATTCCCACCAACCTCATCAGCAGTTTTCAGAACATTTAAATCCATCAGTATAACCACTCTCCTACAAACACAGAATAGACAGCAATAAAGGCTTTCACTCCCTCCACAACTCTATCAGACTCTGAACATCCCTTGCAGCCAAACCATTAGGGGCTGATTCTTTGGACAAGGGATGTGGAAGACAAAAGCTCTCTGCTCTCAACCCTCTCGTGAGGTACAAGTAGGCTTGAAATTGTATCACATTTCATTAAGAACAGCCATCGGCAGGCTGAATGGGCACGCAAAAATGGCTTGAAACAACACAGTGTTTTAAAATCCGGTGTGGTTTTGATACTTTCACAAGACAGAATATATTCCCTGCCTCAAAAGAAGTTATATTCCCTCCACAAAAATCCTGAATATAAAGACTATGAACCTCAGGTCGTTTTCTCCTAGACACATACAGAGTTTTCCTATAATCACTTCACTGGGATCCCTACTTGTTTTGCAGTATCCTACCTCCCCTCCTTCAAATTTTCATAAGAAAAGACCAGATTCCACACCTTTTTTCTTTTTTTTTTTTAATTATTTCTGCTATTGCTTGCACTGGGTACTTTTCCTCCTGTACCCTAAAGACTGAGTAACTTCAGAGAATCCCAATCAAAAGAATTTGGCCTCCGATTAGTCAGAAAGGACAGAGCACCCACTAGTACTGCTGTCCTTCTGTAGAACCATACTTTAAGAAACATATATACCTTCCATCTTTCAGGCTGTTGACAATGAATCTGTTAACCTGGCAAATACAGTGGGCTGATAAGCGTTCCTCTTCCACCAGAGAGTTCAGCTGCGTTGCCAACATGAATGCTGCAGAAACAGAAGCAAAACATCAAAATAATTAACACATGCTAACCTTAAAAGGGGCTGTCATGGCAGGCCACAACTTTTGCAGTCAGTCTAGCGTTGCATTAGATCTAAAACTTGGTCAGTTATTTAAAAACATAGAAAACAGCGTCACCAAAACTGAACATAACTATATTGTATTTATTCCCCAAACTTCAGAGTGCAGTGATAGAGTGATCATATATCAAGGAGGTCAGAAAAAGATTAAGATAAATTCATTTTAAAGTCACTGTCATAAAGACATGGACAGTTTTCTATATTTTCTTTATACCTTATAGCAAGTTAATTGCTTAAAGCTCACAAAGAAAGTTCCAGAATAGAAGGATTTTGCCCAAACGTTAAAATGCAGTGTATACTTCCCAGCCTGTGGTCCCTATGTAGGCCACGTTCTCCTTCAGTATTCGTTTTATCACTATGCACCTTAAACACCAGACCGGAAACTTTAGCACTGTTAATATCTCCACACTTATAAAAATCTCACTACAGCTTGTCGTTCTTACAGGAGAGTGTGTTAACCCCATCACTCATCAACACTCGGTAACGCGGCGGCCCGTTTCCTGTAGCAATGGCCCGTGTATTCTGTGGGGAAACAACAGATTATTAGTTCTCATTTGTTCAGAAACTCTTCAAAAACGTAACTGTGATGTTGTTGTTAGTAAATGACCTATCTATTCAGGTGTGGGGGGGATTTGAGCACTGACATCAACAGCATCGCCCAATTAAGAGTATATCAGACTTGCTCAGCTCCTCTGCAGAGGAAGTCTGGCCACGCTCTGAACCTTGCATGGGAGCACGCGCAGTCACTACCGGAGGCACGAGAGGTAACGGAAAGTACTCACGATGACCTGCAGCACGGGCTTGGTGACAGTCTCCCCCTGCATTATCGCCTGAAGAAAAGAAAAAGCAACTCTCAGAGAGGTGCCACCGCCTCACTCAGCAACGCTTCGAGACCCGCAGCTGAGGGGCAATTGCCGCGGAACAGCCAGAAGCAGGGGAATAGCCAGGGCCCTCCCTGCCTCCCGGGACCGGGCCCAGCTCAGGGCCTGCTCCCTCCCCTCAGGACCGGGCATGGCGGGGGGTGCCCAGGCCCCTTCTTTCTGGGCCCAGGCTTCAACCCCCCTCAGGGCCGACCTCAGCCCCGTCCCCCCCGGCCCGCAGTGACACGGGGCCAGCGGCCCAGGCCCCTCACCGCGATGGCGCCCTCGCTCAGCTGCACGCTCATAGTGCCGCCTCTCCCGCCGCGCTCCGCCGCTGCCGCCAAATCCTCCCGCCGCCGAGAGCCGTGCCTCCTCCTTCCGGCGCGCCTTTACGTCAGACGGCAGTACGGCGCTTCCTATTGGCTACCCCCGCGCCCGTACGGCGGAAGCGCTGCTGGGCGCCGCCATCACGGGCTGCCGGTGATGGCGCTGCCGGTGGAAGAGTGGCGGCTGTGCGCCGCCCGGCGCTGGGCCGCGCTGGAGCCGGCGCTGCGGGAGCGGTTGGCGGTGGCGTCGCTGCAGGACACGCTGCTTCTGGGCTGCGGCCTCCTCCGGTGAGCGGCGGGCGGGGTTGGGAGCGGGGCGGAGCGGGGCGCTGAGCTGACCCTCCGTGTCCTGCAGGCCTGAGGCGGAGGCGGCGGTTCTGCGGGGGTTGTGCCGCCGGGCGCCCGCGGGTAAGGAGCCGGCGGCCGCTCGCTTCTACCGGGAGGAGGGAAACCGGCGGTTCGGCCGCCGCCAGTACGGTGCCGCCGTGAGGCTCTACTCGCAGGTAGGTGAGGCGGGGGCGACCATGGGGGGCGGCGCCTCACGGTGAGGGGCCCAGCGTGAGGGGGGATCCCCTGGGCTGTGACCCCGAGAGGGTCCCGGTGAGGGGCTCTGCAGCTCTCCCGTCTCTGCAGGCAGCGTCCCACGAGCTCCCTGGCAGCCCCGAGGTGTCCCTCTGCTTCGCCAACCGCTCCGCCGCCCTCTTCCACCTCGGGCACTTTGAGGTAAGTGATGGTGGGGCGGCGGTGGGACCCACAGCAACCCGCCCCCCCCCGGGTCTTGGGTGCCCCCCGAGCCAGTCTGCACACCCAGGGGGTGGTCTGAGGCCTCCCGTTCAGCAGGAGGGGGGATTCTGGGCATGTTTAGTTTGGAGAAGAGGAGGCTGAAGGGAGACCTCATTGTCCTCTACAACTACCTGAAAGGAGGGTGTAGAGAGGTGGGGGTTGGCCTCTTCTCCAAAGGGAGTAATGACAGGACCAGAGGAAATGGTCTAAAGTTGTGGCAGGGGAGGTTTAGATTAGATATTAGGAAGAATTACTTTACTGAGAGGGTGGTCAGGCACTGGAACAGGCTGCCCAGGGAGGTGGAGGAGTCACCATCCCTGGAGGTGTTTAAAAATCATGTAGACATGGCCCTTCAGGGCATGCTCTAGTGCCTGAGATTGTTGGTTTGTGTCTGTTTGTGGTGTTTGGGGTTTGTTTGTTTGTTTTTTGCTTTGTTTTTGGTTTTTTTATGTGGTTGGACTCGATGATCTCAAAGGTCCCTTCCAACCATGAAGATTCCGTGATTGGGGCAAGAAAGAGCCTGAGCACCATCTGAGGTGATGCCACACGATGTTCATAAACGGGATGTTTCTGCAAACCCTTAGAGCAAGAGACTGTAGATCAGATGTGCCTCTGATGCTGTGCCTAAAGCATCCATCATTACTTAAACTTTCTGAAGGGTTCCTGCTTTCCTTCTTGTTCCATATCAGGAGGCTTTATTTAGCCATTTAGATTGGCTGTGCACATAGTATTTGCTGATTAACGTAGTTTTATTAAAATATTCTGCATCTCAGGTGGAATAAAAGAGCACAAGTTTCAGCTAGTTTTCACAGAGTCACAGAATGGCTGGGGTTGAAAGGGACCTTTGGAGATCATCTAGTCCAACCTCCCCTGCCAAAGCAGGATCACCTAGAGCAGGCTGGACAGGAACGCATCCAGGTGCATTTTTAATATCTCTGGAGGAGGAGACTCCACGACCTCCCTGGGCAGCCTGTTCCAGTGCTCTGGCTCCCTCAAAGGAAAGAAGTTTTTCCTCATGTTGAGATGGAATTTCCCACGTTCCAGCTTGTGTCCGTTGCCTCTTGTCCTGTCACTGGGCACCACTGAAAAGAGTTGGCCCCATCCTCTTGACACCCACCCTTTAGATATTGAGAAGCCTTGGTAAGATCCCCCCTCAGTCTTTTCTCCAGGTGAAACAGACCCAGGTCTTTCAGCTTTTCCTCGTAAGAGAGCTGATCCAGTCCTTGATCATCTTTCTAGCTCTCTACTGGGACTCTCTCCAATAGTCCCTTATCTTTCTTGAACTGGGGAGCCCAGAACTGGACACAGTACTCCAGACGTGGCCTCACCAGGGCAGAGCAGAGGGAGAGAATGACCTCCCTCGACCTGCTGGCTACTGACTTTTTAATGCACTCCAGGAGACCACTGGCCTTGTTGGCCACAAAGGCGCGTTGCTGGCTCATTCAAGTACATTTAAAAGGCCTTGTCTTCATTTCTAGGTTTGTTTGGAAGATATTGCCAGGGCTGAAAGTCATGGCTATCCAGACAGGCTGCTGCCCAAGGTCTTGCTTCGGAAGGCTGAATGTCTGCTGTGTTTGGGGAGGTTACAGGAGGCAGCAAACGCCCTCAGCGCGGTGGAGAATAAAATTGCTGTGGATGGGATCATGACTAACCCCGCCCACCAGACACTGCTAAAAAAGTTAAGTCAACTGAAGATTAAAATACACGAGAAAGAGAGCTGCCCACAGCCTGCACGAGAAGCACGTGGTGACATTCAGAGAGATTCAGAGTTCTGGGAAGAGAATGACAGTATTTCGGGTGCATCTTCGTCTTTGAGCTTAAATTTTGATATGGAGAGAGGACGTCACTTGGTGGCCAGCCAGGACATCCAGCCAGGACAGAACCTGCTGAAAGAGGAGGCCTTTGTAAGCGTGCTCTGCCCAGGGGAGGGCTTTCTTTTGCAGGACACCAGTGAAACACCATGGGATACTCGAGTCACAAACGCAGATCTTTATTGCCACCGTTGTCTGAGGCAGCTCTTGGCCTCGGTGCCTTGCCGTGGGTGCAGTTACGCAAAGTACTGCAGCCAAAACTGTGCAGACGTGGCATGGGAGAGGTACCACAGGACAGAGTGCTCCTTGGGAGCCCTGCTTCTCACATTAGGGGTCTTCTGCCATGTTGCCTTGAGGACTGTTCTACTGGCAGGATTTGCAGAGGTCAGCAGGCTGGTGGAACGGTCCCACGATGGTGACAAGGACCTTCGTAACCATGAGGCAAGATGTAAATATCCCAGTGAGGCACCAGATGTGAGAACTGGTACCAGAGGTATCCCTGGTTGTAATGAAAATGGTCAGTACCAGAGTTCTTACCAAGCTGTGTTCAACCTTTTGCCACACGCTGAGAAGCACAGCCCCGAACATAAGTTCCTTTGCATGCTGAGTGTGGTAGCTGTATGCAAACAACTGCAAGAAGCTGGTCTAGAGGGTGCTGTTTTCAATCGGGAATCATCCGAGAAGTGGCCCAAACCAGAGACATGTGAAAAAACATCGGATGACTTGTCTCCAGAGCTGAAGATTATGGCAGAAGCAATGCTGAGGCATGTGTTGCAGCTGCAATGTAATGCACAAGCAATCACTGTCATGCAGGAGTCGGGTAAGATAAAAACTTTTAAGCCCTTCTCTGTTGTCCTTGCTTATCTAGCTTATGTGAAGACACTGAATTATCAGTTGTAAAAAGCTTCCGTTGCAGATAGGAATGACTCGCTTAAAATTTAATGGCATGTCCAATGCTGGCCTGTTCTTTGGTGCACATGCAGGGGTATATTGCTGCAATAAATAATAGCTAAATACCAAGAAACCTTTCTTCTGCAATCAGTCACTGTGCCTGTTGCATAAGTTAGAATCATAGAATCATCTAGGTTGGAAGGGACCTTTAAGGTCATCTAGTCCAACCATTAACCTAACTCTGACAAAAAAACCCATCGCTAGACCATGTCCCCCAGCACCATGTCAACCCGTCTTTTGAACACCTCCAGGAATGGTGCCTCAACCACTTCCCTGGGCAGCCCATTCCAATGCTTGATAACCCTTTCCATGTAAAAATTTTTCCTAATATCCTAAAGGACTCTTGTCGAAGCCATGGCCCACAGGAGTGGCAAGAGAGCTGTGAGCTCCCTCACTGCTGGTGCAGACCATACTGGGGCAGCTGCCTACTGGTGCCCTTTACAGCTGTCCTGTGGTGTCCCAGGTGCCGGAGCGCATCACAGGCACCAGCAGCACCCTTGGGTCCCAACCTGGCTCAACCAGAGCCTGGGATGCTGAATGCAACTGTGTTTTAACAAGATTTGATGGCAGGGTGCACTGGGTTCTTTACTGCCTGGAGGCCAAGGTTGGAGAGAACTGTCAGGGAGAGCCTTCCCTTGAGTCATGAAAGTTGCGTGGGTTACTGAGCGTTCACGCTCAACCTATTTGTTTTTCCTCTGCCTTTAGGGTCTGGAGATGGTGCTGTTGTAAATAAGAAGCCTGTGCGCCTGGCGACAGCCTTCTTTCCTGTCCTTAGCCTTCTGAACCATTCGTGCTGTCCCAATATCAGTGTGTCATTTAGTGGGACAGCTGCCACTGTCAGGGCATCACAGCCCATCCCAAGCGGCCAAGAGATTTTCCATTGCTATGGTAAGTGTTAACTCTCTGTTTGTCTCAAGGCACAGCCAGCCTTTCACCTCTACTCGGCGTGCTAGCTGATTGCTATTAATATCATAAATCCCAGAATAATGTTGCTAGAGTCTTTCTTTGTGTATAAACCTTGATCAAAGATATCAAAGCAAGAGTTTATCTCCTGAGCCCACTGTTACGTTTCCAGTCTCCAGTTATATCCTCTCCAAAAGATGATGTATCTACTCTCAATTGTAACAAAGATAGAGTCGGTCTGATGTTAAGAACTGTTCCTAATTCAATGATTTCCACCCTTGCCATCCCTTTGCAGGGCCTCACCGATGCAGAATGAGGGTTGCTGAGAGACAGCAGCTTCTCAGTCAGTATTTCTTTGCGTGCCGCTGCCAGGCGTGCCTTGATGAGTTAGAGTCTGACGTCAAGAGCGTGGTGTCCATGAGAAACTCATTCTGCTGTCCTAGCTGCCAGGCTTCAATGCAGGTAGTTCTTCTGTAGTTACAGTTCTATAACGTGTCGGGATGTGTAACATTTTGGTCTCTGAGAAATTCTGGGAAATTTAAGAGTTAAAGACCTGAGTCTGTGAGCTCTGCTCAGAGGGCAAAAGAGCCTGTAGAGTCAAGACTGTATCTCGCTGTTCTTAGCAGCTTCCTTGCAATGTTCTTGCATGTCAGTCTTCCAGCATTACGGGGGAAATAATGCCTTTAGTAGCAAGTTAAAATCCCTTTCAACTTGCTGAAGGAACCTTAGAATATCATATTGGGGGAAGGGGGTATTTAGTGTAGAAAATGGAGGCCTGGAGTCAAGGACAGAAAGTGTGCTTACAGGGGCTATATGTAGCAAGAGTCTGAGAACACTGTTGCAGTTCACAGGATGTAGATGAAAACAGTGTGTAGCACTGGTTAGATGAAGAGAAGTCAATGTAGCATGTCTTGTATGAAGGTTAGTTGGGTACTGCATGACCCTGCTTTGGCCTAATCCATAGCTCCCATAGTCATTGCTGTTCCTGGAAGTTTCCCATAAAATCAAATAAGCCAATAGCAATTTACAAGCAAGTCACTTAGTTTCTCGGTTGCATTCATTAAACAATTTAGCATCTCTGTAACACGATACGGAGGTAACAGAGGTGGAAAGTAAGCTTTGAGTGAGCAGGAATGATCACGGGGATGATTTCTACAGGGAGAAGACATGCTTTGTTGTTCAAATGAAGCTTGTGCAGTCTCAGTCAGCAGAGAGAGCCTGTCACGCCGTTTGCAGGACCTTCAGCAGCAAATCAAGAAAGCATTAGAACTGCTAAAAGACAGGAAGGCTGGTAAGGCTCAGCTTTCTGCTTTAAGGTCAACAGCTAATAAGTACACACCAGGAGACGTGGCTCTAGCCATGAGATGGCAGTGTTGCTTACGCAGTTGGGGTTTTCTGGCACACTGCCTGGTGTCCCTGGGGACTTGAGCTTTAAGTTTTTTATACCCCTGATCCGGGTGTTAATCTAAGTCACACGTTGTTCCCTGGTAACTAAAAGAACTCAGGGTAACATTGGAGTTATGTATTCCCAGGCCTTGCTTTCCTGGAGTAAGTCTGGCCAACACTGCATTGGGATAAGCAGGGTTGGGGATGAAGTCGATGTTGAATCCTAACCAAATCCAAATTGAGCTGTCGTAAGATGCAAAGATGAGATTGGACTGATTTTATTTTGTGGATCATGGAAAGCTGGAGACTGGCCAGCAGGATGAATGTTATACCCCATGTTGTTATAGATCAGGCTATCAAACTGCTCCTGAAGTGTCAGATGGATGCTGGAAACTTCTTGTCTCCAGAACATTTGCTGATGGGAGAGATGGAGGATCATCTGGCACAGGTCTATGCTACTCTTGGTATGGCATTGTCTTCTCGTTATCTTTAGTTTTATGAACTTTGAATTTAACATGGCTAGCCTTTTCCCTGATGAGCCCTTTCACTTTTCTCCTACTGTATTAGTCTAGTTTTGACAGCAGGGCTCTCAGACTGCTTTAGCCAAAACTGCTTTGCCAGCAGCCAGTGAACAGTAATGTGATCTCATGTTCTTCTAGATCCTCTGTCCTGGGTCTGAGGTCAGCAGCCTCCCAAGAATGCTGTGAATGTAGTTCATCTCATTTTGCATAGTGCTGTCAAATTCTTTGGGTAGCAGTAGCTCTAGAAAGTATTTATTCATTACTCATTTTGGTTTTTTGTTTGGTTTGGTTTTTTCCATCAGGGAAGTGGCAGGAAGCAGCCAGACACCTGGAGAAGAGTATTGAGATTGTGGAAGTGCATCACGGGCCATCAAGTGTAGAAATAGGTCACGAACTTTTCAAGTTGGCACAAATCCTCTTCAATGGGTAAATTTGCTTTCATTATCTGTCCCTTCCCTGCACCATTCCTGTGGGTTTGACGTGATACTGTGGCAGGTGGTCCTTGGCGCCTTGCAGGGTGTCTCACAGGACCCTGGGCAGTCTGGCACGGGTACAAAAGTTGGCCATCACTCAAGTGCAAGTTCATTAATCCCACTGAGGTTCACTTTTACCTCATGACTCTCTTTGGACCCATTTCTCGGCTTTGTGCCTGTCTATTCTTTTCTTCTCCCTGGCTCCATTTATTCCCCGTCCTATTGTTTTATTTTGACAACTAGTCATCCTTGGTGTTTATACGTCAGTTGTATAATGTTGCTGACATCTTTTCAAAGGAGGAAATAAAATCCTCTTGCTCTATTTTGGCCCTCTTGGCAAGCAAATCCCTTGACTGCTTCTGCAAATCTAACACCACCCCCCTTTAACTGAATTAATTTTAGCTGGAGCTGCAGTGATGAAGCAGTGGGTACCTCTGCTCAAAAAGAATTTTGTAAGTTTTTGTCCATTTCCTTGCCTTTTTCTCCCCTCCCCATCCTCCTTTTGCAGCTGAAGTGCACGCTATTTCCCTGGTGCTGGAAGGCAGTGGAGGGGAGGATTATGTACCCATGAACAGGTTTAGGTTTTTATTGGGGAGGGTTTAAATGTTCTGAAAGTCAAGGGAGATGAGTTAAGTATTTTGTATACTCTGTTCTTATTCTCTTCCTATTTCAGATTTGCAGTTTCTGAAGCTCTGAGCACAATTCAAAGAGCAGAGGAGATTTTGTCAGTGCACTGTGGTCCTCAGAGTACTCAGATCCAGGAACTACAAGAGATGAAGACCTGTCTCTTAGAGCTTCCCAGAAGCATCCTTCAGAGGACTTAATTTCCCTGTCAAAGGAAGCTGCAGTGTGATCTTTCATCAAAGCTAAGTTTCATGTGGTAAGGTAGTCACGTAGTACGAGCTGGAAAATCCTATGTACCAACTTGAATGAAATCTGAGGTGCTCTTTAGTGAGACTGTTGTAAATAAAATGACCGATTCTAACATGAGGGGTCTGTGCCTGCTATGGTGGGAATAGGTGCTGTTGTATAATTTCTGCACGTGTGCTTGAAGCAAATGTTTGAGCTGCTTGTGTGAGTGTCTCTAGAGATGTAACTCTCCCACGCGTGGTACCCTGTTGGTCATGAACACCCAGACCATCTTGGAATGGGTGAGGCAGCAGACTGGGAAGGTCAAACTGACAAGCTATGAGAGGGGGCACTACAGAACTTGGAGAGCCACCAGTGCCAACCTGTCAGTGATGAGGGATTCTGTTTAAACAACTCGTGTCAGGCTGGAGCACGGGATAGGGAAAAATGCAGTATATGTCAGATGATGCTTGCCTGTAGGACACAGAACTGCATTGTGGCTCCTCTGGGGAAAATGGGAGTGTGAAGGCATGTGATGTAGGCAGACATTCTTTCAAGGGAGAATACTGGGGCTTGCTGAGATTAATAGCAAAAGCTCTTTTATTGCAGCATGAAGGCATAAGATTTGCAAGTTGTGTCTTTGTGCAGCAGAGCAGGGAGCCAGTATCCCTCCCAATACCACCCTTTCCATTTGGGCCCTACCATTGCAGATTATTGTGAAGGGATCTAAACGCTCCTGGGATCCAGGATCTTGCCAATGAAGAGGAGGGTTCCAGTGGTATCATCTCGCAGTACAAGAAGGAAAGGTCTGTCCACATGATATTCTATAGGGAAGGTCAGACGAGCAGCAGTCACCCCGGGGTTTGGTGTGGATCTTTCCCCATCTTCACTAAGCTCCAGCACCGCCTTGTGTTGCACATGAGAGAGCTTAATGGGCTTGGCAGACATCTTGCTAAAATCAGGTGATGCGAAAAGTGATTGGAGCCCTGGAGGAAAGAAAGAAAATTCCATTAGCTGGAAGCATAGATTGCAGGTGGGGGAGCAGGCTGCTAATGCTGTGATCCAGGAGGGCACGTAGCTACACTGGTAGAGTTCATTATGAGTAACAGGGAGAAGCTTTAAGTCTGTTCATACTGAGCTTCTCCCTCTCAATCTCAGAAGCTTTGTATGAGCTTGGTGGAAAGATGTGATAAAAAGTTGAGGAGTCCTAGACCAAGGTGATTTAATTGCTGGTGACATCTCTACAGACTGACAGCAGGACCTAACTAATAGCCCACCAGCTTCAAATTCTTCTGAGAGCAGGAAGTAACTTGCCCACTGCTTTGAGCCCTGGCAGTCTGCAGAGGGTGTGTGATGTACATACTTGTCTCCTTTAGTGTGCTGCCAAGTGCCTCCTCGTAGTTCAGCTTTAGTTTGGGCAAGCTTAGCACAGCGTGGACTGTCTTCAGCTCCTTGTCTACGTCGTGGACAAACTCAGAAGTAAGGCTTTCCTCAATCAGAGTCATATTCTGGGTCACCTTCGTAGGCAGGAAGAACATGGCACTGATTCCCTCTGTCAGTGGCAGCTGGGCGATCTGGAAGGCCAGTTATAAATAAGAAAGGGTCACATCAATAATAAACAGTTTTATCCATCCCGTGCCAGGCACAGGCCTGAATCTCAGACCTGCCTGGTCTTCTTCCCTGTTTATTTTTCTCGGACATGATGTTTCCTGACCCCTCTGGTGCCCAGGCTTTCATCAACCCATGTTGCCCTCTTTCTGCTGTTACACGGCAAGTGCTCTCTCTCACCTGTTGAATCCTGCAATGATCTGCAGTATTGCTTTGGGGGATTCTCAGCTGGAACACCTTTGGGCTCGTGCTACAGTGAAAGGTTTGTTGAAAGAGGTAGAGATGGCAAAGTTTGGAGGAGTGTGCCCTGCCCTTCTCTGCCCAACTTTAGGTCAAGCAATACAGGCTAGTAGGACCTATGCATTATTGAAATTCTGGACTGCTTGTCATATAGCCAATGTAGAAGTAGGATGTGCTAAGAATCACCACACTGCCTTCCAAAATAGGGATTGCAAAAGTAGCCTGATGGGAGGAGCAAGGCTGTCTTCTGGAATAGGCTAACAGGTAAGTGTAGCTGAGCCTGTTCCTCAGTAGGTTTGGGAGATCTTGTGCAATGTTTGCTCTCTGACCTTGCAGTTGAGTTCCGAGTCAAAACCATAGCGCAGTATGGCTTTGGGGTCTGACATCATGGACACCTTCACAGTTCTAGCCTCATCCAGGTGGAAGTCCTGCAGGGCAGTCTTCTTGACGTCAAACTTGGTTTTCCATGCTCCTATTTTTAAAAAGATAAAATGGAGGATTTTATGGAATAATAGTGAAACCAGACTTGTGTCTGTGGCTGAGTAATCTTGCGCGTTGTGTATATATACAGGATTTGTACTTTAAGAGTTGAGGCAGAACTGAATGAATTGATAGAGATAGAAATAGCTCAACTGGAGCTACTGATTTTCCTGCCACTCTTTGGCCCCTCCTTTTCATCTGAGAATTGGCTAAATGGGAAATAAAGAAATCAAGCCAGTGTATGGGTGGAGTAGCTATTGGGAAGTTGATGTCTACTTATGTAATTGCAAAACTATTTTAAAGGGTAACAATTGTGTCAATGCATATAAAGTGCTTCTCTCCCCGCCCTTTATTTCACTCCTTGTCTCTAAGCAGTAATTCTCCAGGACGCTGGCTGACAGCATGTTCTAGAACAGCTCTCTAGTATCTCCCTCTGTTCCCTTTACAGTGGTAAAAAAGCTCAGTACGCTCTTTAAGCTGTGCTTTCCCTAAATGGTAATATTTTTTCTCTTGCTGTGGAGTTTTGTGAGCTTAAACTTCTCTGGTCTCTTACTGCAAACGGGTCAATTCAGCTTCCTGAGAGCAGCAGTTCCTCCCTCAAGGACTATTTTTGTTCGGGTAGTGTGCGTTTTTTCTTCTATAACATTTTCTTCTATAACATTTTCAAACACTTTGTTCTTACACTCTGTCTCTTTGGCAGTCTGTTTGCTCCACTGGAAGTGAGAGCATTCCCTTCCATCTCTTCTAACAAATGCTTCGTAGGCCCTCTCTGTTACCAAGTACACGGCATTCTTACCCTTGAAGTAAGCAGCCCCAGCAAGGAGAATACTGACATCTGTGGGCACGTCCTTCATAAACCGCATAATCCTTCCCTTTGTCTGCTGTCGTACCCAGTTGTTGATTTCTTGGAGGTCTAACTGGGTATTGCCACTTAGTGCCCTCAAACGCATCTTGTAGGACTTCTCGAGTTGGCTGTGAAAACTGGGCTTCACCCTCAGTCCTGGGAAACAAAAAGATCAATATTGCAGCGAGCTCCCTGATCAAGACAGTCTCAAGGCAGCAGATTGCAAGCCAAAGCCCAGCAGCAGCGCTCTCATAAAATATCTGTGGCTGTGTGTGTACAGAAACCTGCTTTGAAGAAGAATGACTGAAGGCACATGGGATAAACTGACCCAAATCCTATAGCCACCCATGCTGGAGTATGGGATAACTCTCTTCTGAGAAGTAAAGGAAGGAGATAAGAATGGAAGGCTTGGATACGCCTATTCCTACATCAGTCTCTCTCCTTTCTCCAGCTTGCTTTATGAGTACAGCTCACTCAACCTATTGGATTCTTGGAACCAGCAGGTTCCAAAAGATAGCTCTTAACTTTCTCAGCAGATGTTTATTGCACGTCAAAAGCAGACATTTAAAATAGTTCTGCAAGGAATTAAACAAAGGAATATGGCTGAACGCTATCGCGAATAGAAAATGGGATTTGTGGGAACACCTGCCAGAAAACCTAGAGTGAAGGCAAAATTCTCAGCAAGTTTCTTCTAGGTCTTCCACGTGTTAGCTGCTCTGTCACCAGTATCTTTGTGTGCAAAAGTCTAGTCTTCTGTCTATGTGCACACAAACCTTCTAGGCTTTTTGTGGAGCAGCAAGAGCATTCCATGCACTATCTGCATCCTGGCTCAACAGTATGTCAGAGCCAAAGCTGTTAGTGCAGTGTTACTCAGTGCAGTGTTACTCAGTGCGTTCTACCTGCTGCTGGTTATTTAGGTAAAATTTGGTAGAGGGGAAGAAGGACTTTTACTTTTCTCCAAGATGATACGGGAGGCGCTTTTCATGCTCTTCTCTGGTCCAGTCACGCTGCTCAGCAGGTCCTTGTAAGTGTCATGGACCTCAGCTTTGTTAAGCAGATCGTAGAAGAGAGCGCGCGAAATCACGTCTTCTGTTCGTTCTCCAGCCCCTGCCAACGAGAAGGCCAACAGTGTGAGGGAAGGCCTGTGGAGCCAACGAGTGTCTGAGGAAACGGGGCAAGAACTCACCCAGTGAGAGCCCAGAGAGCGCGGTGGCCAGGCTGAACGGGGACAGCAGCACGTTGGCGGTGGCCGTCCGGCTGGATTGCTGTCGGTACAGGTCGTAGCCGAAGTTGGAGACTGCAGCTGCCAGCTTGTTTACGGGGCTCTTGTAGAATGGATCTTCCTCTTCGACCTCACCAGCATTGGCTCCATCAGTGGTGGCAGAGTTCTAGGAGGTACAGGGAGTGCTTTGGTTAGAGCTGTAGTTTACACGGATAGATACAAGATAGACGTCTCAAAGGCAAGCAACCTACAGGTACTCTCCTATGATCTACAGAAATACTGGCTTAATCTTGCTGATGGAGAGTGTAGGGACAGTTACTTTAGTTTCAAGTGGCAGTGCTCAGATCGGAATCCCCTATTTCTGCCTCGTGGTCATCCCCTGATGTAACGACTGGGGTTTCATCTGGGTAAAGCAGGAGTTAGTCTCATTATGTTGCTAAATAAAATCCTAGTAACTTAGGAAGGTAGTGCTTAATCCTTCCGTAGGATTCTCTAAAATTAAATTCCCTGCTCCAAGCATCTCTCCCTCACTATCTACAGTTTGTCTTCTACTCACCTGCTCTGTAGCCGAGTTCTGGGATCTGCTTGGGACAGTTAAGAGACCCAGGAGGAGGAGAACCACTGGAATCTGCATGCTTGAACCTACAGAGTAAGAACACGATAGAGGTAGTTTGAGCAACTGAGCAAATACATCTCTACCACTACTTTTTGCTATGCCTGGTGGTGACAGGGACTGCAATGACACATGTGGCTGTGGAACACACACCTGATCTTAGCTGGGTTTTCTTTTTCTTCTCCAGTTTGAAGTATTCAGCCAGCCTGGCCCCAATGACTTGAAAATTGGGCCAGCACACATGCCTGGGTGTGCCTGAGCACAAAAGCAGATGTGTGTGGCCCACAGTAAAATTACTGAATGCCAAGTTCCAGAGAAGCACTAAATCATACTTTCTGAGTTTTAGACTTTAAAAATGCAATACTTCAGCACTTATAAAAGGTCGCAAATCCATGTTGTTGAATGGGGCAGAAGATGAAACTGCCTGGTTCCTGCTCTGCTGTACAAGTTCTGCCTCAGGCAGTAGTTGGTCGTGTTGCTTGTGTCTGCATGTACCTGGAAGGCTGTACAGCCTATATTCATCTTCTGCTTCTTATTTGGAATTTGATAAAGTAAAAGTAGAAAAGCTTTCTTAAAAGACAGTAAGGAAAGGGGCTGGGAATAATTTCCCAACTCTGGGCCAGATCTAGAGAAGAAGTGAAAGGCAGGGCTTGGCTTATTCAACATTTTAATGGAGGGGGGAGAAAAGTACCAAATGCCCCAAGGCTGTGCCTTCTGTGGAATCCACTTTGATTCACTCCAGTACTGGCATGTGTGGCCCTTGCAGACAGATCTGTCTGGTGCAAAGGGCAGTGTGTAACCCAGGGTTTCACTGTGGGTGAACCAGAGCTGCTGCACAAGTGTCATGTCCCCGAGAACAGACGCCGCTGAGGCTGGTCTGAAGCAATGTTTATATAGATTCCCAGAAATTAAAGGAAGAGGGTTGTATTTAACTAACCCCTGTGATCCAGGCATCCAGTGAAGGAGGAGAAGGCACATGTGTTTCAGATTAACTTCAGCTGTAAAGAAAACTTGCCTGCTGGTAGAAATACAACTTAAAGCCACGTGGCTACAACAGCCCCAGTTTGGGACCCAGACTGTTCAGGCAGAGGTTTTACTTCAGTGAAAGGCAGTTCACTGTTTCCCTTTCCTGCCAAAGCCCTTTTCTACTGGAGGTAGCTCTGCCTTGGAGTAAAAGGTGTCACAGTGGAGGTTTTAAGTTTTCATCTATGTGTAGACAGTGTAACACAGAGAAGTGGTACCCTCTTTTCCCCATGCACTTGCATCCTGTGACCTGCTGCTGTCCTAGCTGTGGAGGAGATGAGGAATTTCTGGTGCAGAAGATGTGTATCAAGAGGATTTACCACACTGGAACAAACCAATCTGTTTGGTGGTATGATAGTGGATAAGATATCGGGATTGCTCTTATCATTGCAGTTTTACAGTGAATAGGCACCACGCTGAAAGAGAGATGACAGAAGCCCTGTGTGAGTCTGAGTTAAACGGGTTTTAGAGAGGACTTTGTGAGGATGCCTGCACCAAGCAGTGCTCTTGCATGCTGAGCAGAAGAGATTTGCTCCAATCTAGTTTAGAGATGAAGGTTTTCCATGGAGCATAACCTTTTCTCTGAAAAGAAAAAAATTAATAATAATCCCAACACAACCTCTGCTTCCAACTACCCTGAGCTCCTGGGAGCATGAGAGCGGAGATTGGTTTTGCAGATTTGTATTGTTTTTGCCAGTACCGTCACCAGCTTCATATTTCTCAAACTTGTGCCAAAAAGCAATTTCCATTTTAGAAAGACAAAGCCTTTTGCGTTTGAATTGGCCTGAACATCTGGATTCTATTTGCGTGTGTCTTAGCACGCAGCCAAAAATGCAGAGAAAAGAATTTGGTTGGAGGAGAGGTGGGATGGTTTCAGGCATGATATTAAAATCTGTGGCTGCCTTTGAAGAGAAGAGAAGGAGCGACAGCCTGTGATGTTACGGTCAGGAAGGTACAGGAAGAAAACTTTGAGAAATGAGCTGAGAAGGAACTTTGTGCCTGGGGGTTGTCTATTCGTGAAGGCCTGCAGGTGCAAAGGAAATATTTTGCTTTCCATCTATAGCTATAGGAGTCTTACATCATTTATAAACGTTTCTGATTTTAGGGGTGCTACGAGACGTCACCCGCGAGTTCAGACCGTTCAGTGTCATTGCTCTACCCCCCAGCACTCACTCCTGAGGCATCCTGCAACCACTAGGTCTAAAGGATTTGACTGTCACCAAAACTGTTACCCTCGCAAAGAAAAAGCACGTTCCCAGCTGCAGCACAGATGCTCCAAGTGCAGAAAACCACCCCAGCTCCCACACGTTCACCCCCGGCGGCAAAGAGGTGCCCTAGGATGCTGCTGGCTCCCATCCCTCGGTGAGACCCCCCCCCTCGTTTGGTGGGAATCCCACCTTTTACCACCTGCAGAAGAACCTTTCTTCCCGTATCCCAGGTGCTCTGAGAGCTCCTCAGCCCCTGCCCTGGGCTCCCCCGGTGGCTGGCGGTGACCGAGGCTGAGCTGTCCCTTACCTCGGGCTCCTCTCGGCTCCCCGGCGGCTGCGGGTCAGGGACAGTGTGGGTTTGCTGCGGCCACATCTGCTTTTTGCTGCTTCCCCCCCAGCCCAGCCTTCGGCTGGCTTCAAGTTACAGCTTCCCAGGGCTCTCTTAAAGTGCTCTGCTCCCATTTTTCCGCTGCTGCCACCCTCCTGCTGAACTGCGCTAATTTTTTAATAATAAATATACTCCCTGCCATCAGGGTGGTCTGGTGGGTCAAGCACAGCTCGGAGGGGCAAATGCTCCCTGCCCTGTGTGAGCAAGGCTTTTATCCCCACAGTTTTGCTGTAGAGGGAATTTCTTCTGTCTCAGAGGTATGGTTTAATGGATTTATGGATTTATGTCCAAGATTTAACGGAGAGACTTGTAAAGTGGAAGCAGGATTCCGTTGCTGTTTAAAGCGGTTAAGGGGAAGGTGTTCAGAAGTGGTTCTATGCAGTGATAGTTACTAGTTAACAAGAAGTCATTAACGTAACTGGCTTAAAGCTTTTGGCTGAAAAGAAAGAGACTAAAAAGCCTAGAACTCTTGGTAACGATAAATAATGTTGTAGGAGCTTACAGAGTGATAAATGGTCTGGAGAAGGGAAAGGGGCAGAGGGGCTTCATTATTTTTTGCAATAGAAGACTCCAGGGGAGCACCCATCAGTGCACATTGAAATCAAGAGAGTCTATTTTTCATAAGTATTAAATTGTAAAACTCATTGTAACTAGATATTGCAGAAGATGAAAGATAAATAGATTGGGGGCTGAACTAAACCAAATTAGTGGAAGACAGGTCCACTGAAGGCTGACAATGGTCAGATGTAACATCAGACTCAGCAGCTGGGTGATGCAACCAGAGAACAGTTGGTTTTCCTTGTCCCTAGTCATTCTTGGCTTTTTTTCCTCTCCAGTCATTTGTTACTGGGTTCTGAGAGAGCCAGGACACTGGGCTAACTGGTCACGTAGCCGGCCTGATCCAGGGCAGCTGTTTGTCTTCTTGGAAATGCTGAAAGTAAAGTGTAGTCGTGTCATTGCCCCCGGTCTGGGCTTGCACTGGGACATCTCCTGTGTGGGCCACCAGCCTCACCGCTTACAGTTTTACCACCTGCAGAAGAACCTTTCTTCCCGTATCCCAGGTGCTCTGAGAGCTCCTCAGCCCCTGCCCTGGGCTCCCCCGGTGGCTGGCGGTGACCGAGGCTGAGCTGTCCCTTACCTCGGGCTCCTCTCGGCTCCCCGGCGGCTGCGGGTCAGGGACAGTGTGGGTTTGCTGCGGCCACATCTGCTTTTTGCTGCTTCCCCCCCAGCCCAGCCTTCGGCTGGCTTCAAGTTACAGCTTCCCAGGGCTCTCTTAAAGTGCTCTGCTCCCATTTTTCCGCTGCTGCCACCCTCCTGCTGAACTGCGCTAATTTTTTAATAATAAATATACTCCCTGCCATCAGGGTGGTCTGGTGGGTCAAGCACAGCTCGGAGGGGCAAATGCTCCCTGCCCTGTGTGAGCAAGGCTTTTATCCCCACAGTTTTGCTGTAGAGGGAATTTCTTCTGTCTCAGAGGTATGGTTTAATGGATTTATGGATTTATGTCCAAGATTTAACGGAGAGACTTGTAAAGTGGAAGCAGGATTCCGTTGCTGTTTAAAGCGGTTAAGGGGAAGGTGTTCAGAAGTGGTTCTATGCAGTGATAGTTACTAGTTAACAAGAAGTCATTAACGTAACTGGCTTAAAGCTTTTGGCTGAAAAGAAAGAGACTAAAAAGCCTAGAACTCTTGGTAACGATAAATAATGTTGTAGGAGCTTACAGAGTGATAAATGGTCTGGAGAAGGGAAAGGGGCAGAGGGGCTTCATTATTTTTTGCAATAGAAGACTCCAGGGGAGCACCCATCAGTGCACATTGAAATCAAGAGAGTCTATTTTTCATAAGTATTAAATTGTAAAACTCATTGTAACTAGATATTGCAGAAGATGAAAGATAAATAGATTGGGGGCTGAACTAAACCAAATTAGTGGAAGACAGGTCCACTGAAGGCTGACAATGGTCAGATGTAACATCAGACTCAGCAGCTGGGTGATGCAACCAGAGAACAGTTGGTTTTCCTTGTCCCTAGTCATTCTTGGCTTTTTTTCCTCTCCAGTCATTTGTTACTGGGTTCTGAGAGAGCCAGGACACTGGGCTAACTGGTCACGTAGCCGGCCTGATCCAGGGCAGCTGTTTGTCTTCTTGGAAATGCTGAAAGTAAAGTGTAGTCGTGTCATTGCCCCCGGTCTGGGCTTGCACTGGGACATCTCCTGTGTGGGCCACCAGCCTCACCGCTTACAGGTAACGAGGAGTAACTCATGCATTCTGGCACTGAGCTCATATTCCCTCGGCAAAGAGGAAAGGGTGGCTTTAAAGAAGCAGTAGCTGCTGGTATTGCAAGCCAGAAAAGGAAATCAGGTAGTCCTCCCTGTGACTAGTCAGTGCTTCAAAGGTGACCCTTGCTAAGAAGAAGAGTAGCAGCTCTGCTTTCAACTGCTTCTCAGCTTGCTCTGTGAGAAGTCGTCTGCAGAGAGAGGTTTCTGCTTGTTCATCTTCCATCATCAGCCCAAGAATGGGGGTGTTGGCCGTGGAGACAACTTCTGGTGGTTTTCATCTCCTTTTGATACCTCCTTTGTGGTATTGAAGTGCCCTTTGTGGAAGGGCCACTAGAGATTTTTTTTTTTACATCTTGTCTGTATCTTCAAATACGTCCGTTTAAATACAGGTTTGGTTTTAAACCACTTAAATCAGAGTGGCAGAATGTTATCGTAGACCAAAGCCAGCTTTATTCCTGTAGGGTGTCCCCAAAACAGTGCATTATACTCATCTAACTACACGCGAGGCTTAAATCAGTTTCGTTAAACCAATACAAACATTTCACTGTTGTTGTGGTTTGGGTTGAAGGGAGCAGGCAATATGCTGTCTGAACGGCGTTCACCCGTGCTGTAGGAGTACTGATCACGTTCGTATGAATTTGCTCTACTTTGGAAAAAAATCCATTAATGATATGGAGACGTATTTGATATTCTCAGCCAGTTGTGCAGATGAGCTGTAGAGCAGGCGCCCCTGTGCTCGTCATGTCTTTTCAGAGCAGAGCTCCGTCAAAATGAAAGCTTAGCAATACAAAGTGGAAACTCCTCAGCAGAGACATTAATATTACTTTGCATTTTACAAACTGCCTGTTCTGGAGAGTCAGTGGAGTGAAAAGGAGTCTTAAGGTTGGTGTAGCTGATAATTTGTTGAGCAAAGCACAGTGATGGAGGGCTGCTGTACTGTCAAGCAAGATGAAATTAGTCGTTTGACAAGAATAGCTTAGGGGAGGATGAATGGCAGTGAGAGATAAAATAGGAAATAAGAACCAAGCTGCTCGGGAAACTGAGAATAAGGGGAAAAAACTTTATAGAAGAGGGGGAGCTGGAGGGCAGAGGCATGAAAACAAAGACTTACACTTCAAATTTTGCACAGGTTGCAGCACAACTGGGTGGAATTCGAGGAGGCTGGTGCTGAGGTTGCAGGAGCCAAAGCAAGGCTTACCTTGGGCATGGGGTGGTATTTCTGAATGTTAGGAATGAATCTGTATAAATAAATACGCTAAAATGTTCCCTGTGGGCTAGAGCTGTGCCCTCATAGTAGGGCTGAATTCTTGTGGGTTTACTTGTTAAAATTACATGGCCCTGTAATTACACCCTCTTTTTGAAGGGTACGTGTCATTGCATTGGTTAGAGGGGTGGACATTATCTTTAGCCGTTCTTCCCCTTTTAGACTGCAAGAAATGTGTAATTGCAGGTTTGAGCCAGGGCTTTTTTATTCCCCAAAGTCTCCTGCCTCCCCGAAATTCATGGTTAGTGAGTCAGTCCTTGTCTTATTCCAGCAGATGGTGCAGACTATTCAGGGACGGAGGCTCCCCAAAGCATTCTGCTCCTTCCTTTGAGGGAAGGCAGACTTCCTGAGTGGGGGAAAACACTGCCAGAAGGATGGCCCTTGTGCTCTCTAACTGCTATTCCACAAAAATAGAGTACCATCCTTTTTAACCAGAAGCTGAGGGAGATTGGAAGCAGAATCTACTATGGACAGCAGTTGTTTTGCACAGAAATAGCTGCAGCGTGGCAGGCTACGGTGAGTTAGACTAATATTTTCAAGTAGTAGGATGGCTTGGTTGGGTGAGGGGGTTCCCAAGAATCTTTCACAGTAGCTTATTTCAGGCACAGGCTGCTATATCAGAATCCAGGGAGCTGTGTTTGTCTCAGACTAAAGTGGTGCTGTAACGGGACATTGCCTTTTGCCAAAACAGGGCAAAACCAGTGACATTCATCTACAGGTGTCAAAATCTGCATTTCTGCTCGCAGGCAAAATACACTTCTGTCTTTATACCGCTGAGGTCATGCCCAAATTCAAGGCATTCTGCCCATTTCACAAAGCCAGCTGTGACCCCGTGAATGTCCCCTCCACGCTCTACAGGTGAGATGCCCAAAGCTTATGGGGCTTGGACAGTCTTTAGGGATTAGCCATTTCACCTCACAGCCCCTGTTGTCCTCCGGGATAAGGTGTAGCAAAAAGCAGACCCTTTGCAAGAGCCCCTCTTCTCTTTCCAGCCTTCACACCCTGACTTTTTTCCTCCCCAGCTTTGCAATTACTCAAATTGAGTGCCTTTTTCCTTTCTCTGTTGGGTCTTTCAATGCAACATCTTAAGCAAGTATGTTCTGCTTTACTCTTTATTAATTCTGCCAACATAAAAATTACTTAAAAAACACTTTATAAAATACATCTTGAAAAATCTAGCATTACCCAAGAACCTAGAGTTTCCCAGGAAAAGGGCTGGAGATAAGGAACAAAAGGGGTTTCCCACTGCAGGCCCTCCAGCATCAGTGCCAAGAAGTGGGAGAAGGGAATCTTTGAAAAGAGCCTGTG